TCTAAGTATTTCTTTCTTGGATTTTGAACAGAGCACCAGCTGACATTTGGAGAAACATGGTAGTCCTCAATCTTCCTTTTTATAGTCCTTTTTTGCCTCCTTGATACTCCGCCTCAGTTCCTCTCTTGCCTTGTTACACCAAACCCTGTCCTCAGACCTGAATGCCATATCACGTGTCTTGAGAAGTAATTGCACATCCTTATTCACCCAGGGCTTCTGGTTTGGAAAAATCCGGATGCGCTTATTCACAGAAACCGTATCCACACAGGTCAAGATGTAAAACAGTACAGTTTTTGTATATTCCTCCAATCCTCTTGTTCAAATAAATTCCAATTAATATTTGAGAAACAATCCTGCAGCTGATCAAGTGCTCCCTCTGGCCAGATCTCGATGAGTTTGACTTCAGGCTTAGTTTTCCTTCTGAGAGGGGTGTATGCTGGTATAAGGGACAGTGATAAATGATCTGAAAGTCCCAGATGTGGTAGGGACACAGCTTTATATGCATGCTTTACACGTGATCAAGATTGATGTTTCCCCTGGTGGCACATGTCACATACTGAGTAAATTCGGGAAATACAGTCTTTAAGCATGCCTTATTGATCATCTCATTGAAAAAAATTTCTCTAATTTAATAGGGATTGTTTGAAATAGATAAAAAAAATTGGGTAGGGTAGTCATTTTGATTGCCGCTATTCTTCCTAATAGTGATAGTTGTAATTTGGCCCATAATTCTAAATCTTTCTTTGTTGTATAAGTTTAATATTCTCTTTTATTGTTGTACAACGTGCGGTCAACTAGATACCTAAATATTTAATTTTCCTTGTTATTTGCAGTCTCATTGCTCGTTCCAATTCTATTTTCTGTGATTCCATCAAATGTTTAGTTACAACTTTAGTTTTTTGTCTATTAATTTTGAGGTCGGATATTTCCCCACATCTTTCCAATTCTCTAATTATCTCCTTCCCTGTCTCTATGGGGTCCTCTATGATAAATGCCAGATCATCCACAAAGGCTTGCAATTTATATTCTTCCTTTTTGACTTTAGTTCCTTTTATCACTGGATTGAGGCTAATTTGTCATAGGAGACTCTGTAGCGATAAGATAAAGTTACCTACAACTTTTCAATTGATATTTTTCTTTTCTTTCAAGAGGAAAGGTAGAGAAATTAGTCTGAGGGAAAGATAGAGAAATTAGCCTGAGAGAAACATAGAGAAATTAGCCTGAGAGAAACATAGAGAAATTAGCCAGCAGTGTGCAACAGCAGCCAAAAAAGCTAATGCAATCCTAAATTACATTAACAGAGGGACACAATCTAGATCAAATGAGGTACTAATACCACTCTATAAAGCCTTAGTAAGGCCACATCTAGAGTACTGCATCCAGTTTTCATCACCACTATAAAAAAGATGTTAAGACTCTAGAAAAAGAACAGAGAAGAGCAATGAGGATGATGAAGGGGCTGGAGGCTCATACGATTGCAGGAACTGGACTTGGCTAGTCTAGTGCAGAAAAGGACCAGGGGAGACAGGAGAGCAGTCTTCCAATATCTGTGGCGCTGGACGAACCGGCCATGGAGAGTTAACGCTGCTGCTGTAACAACGAAGGCTGAGGCATGGGAGGAGTAGAAGACTCCGCTCTTGACATCCTTTGACGATCGGGAGCAGGGGGTCCCCAGGATCGACGCAGCCAGCCACGATTACGCTCCTCCCTAGTGTTCCCCACCTGTATCTAAGGGGGATCCAGTTGAGGGGCAGCATGCTCCTTATGAGATCAAGGAGTGCATGGGGTACCGATCGCCAGACCACCGACAAGACTTGTAAGGGAGCCTGCCGGGCCCTAAAGACGATCAACCACGTCCTGCAAGTTTGTGAGGTGATGCATGATGCCCAATGTGCATGGGACAACCATGTCGTGGAACGCCTGGATCAATTCCTGCATCGCCTGCAGAGAGGCTGAGATTCGGAAGAAAGGAAAAAACAGGACCGGGATGAGAAACAGCCTGTAGGCGATGCCCGTGAGCGGAAGCCACCCTGTTGGCAGCGGCATCTCGGTCCCTGCCAGGTGCCCAGTGACCCTCCCAAGGACCATGGTTGGTGGGGTGACTGATTAATGGAAGTGGCAGCCCCCCCCCTTCACCCAGCCAGAGGTTGGATGGAGCTGGATTGGGCCTGGATTCCCCAAGATCCCCCAGTAGGAAGAGGGACAGAAGGAGGGCCCAAGACCCCCAGCTCCGCCTGAAAGGGCCCCTCACCTTTGGAATTGTCCACAATCCGCCTTACAGAAGCGTTTTTCTCCAAGAGGGTCTGGAGTCTGACTTGCAGCCTGGGAGAGGCGCTCTCTATGGACCCCGCCACGTAACTCTGGCACCTGTGACACAAGGAGGGAGGCCTCACACAGCTACCCCGCTGTCTCGCCAAAACATGGGGGGCTGGGTGAGGGCTGGGTTGGCCATGGGGTGTGTGAAACAAGCAGGTTCTTTCCAGCATCTTGCCAGGTGAGTACAGGACTCGGGTTTTCCAAACCTGAGTTTAGCATGTGGCGTGAATCCTGGCTTGTTTGCTATGCAAACATTGTTTGTTGCTTTGATCGCAACCGATTGCACACTGAACCAGTGTAGAGTTCAGTAAAGAAGCGAGATTTTAAATATTAAGATTTTGCTGGAGGAGGCTGCTTGGAACTTATAAGACTAGAGTTAAATTGTAACAAGACTTCTAAAAGATATATTTTGGAACTTTGCAATTGAGCTGTACCCCAGGAAGAGAAAGTATAAAAAGAAGAAAGTGCTAAATGAAACAGTTTGTGTATTGGATTGCTTGGTGACTTTGGGACCTTTGCAAATTATTTGAAAGACTAAAAACATTTGGGTTGTTTAAAAAACTTTTTCATGATGGCATTACTTGTTGATGAACTGAAAATGGAATTTAAAAAGCTAAAAGAACAGGAACAAGAAGGGAAGGGCTCTTCTGGATCTGTTTTTCACTTTTTAGAAATGGCGATTTCTACCTATCAGAAATTACAAGAACAAGAAGGTTGGGATGAAGAAGAAGCCATCTTTAATGAACAAACAACTTTAGCTGGGGAAGAAAAGGGAAAGAGAATGGAGAATTTAAGACTTAAAAAAACAACCAAAAAAGGGAAAAATAAGGTGAAAAATCGATACGATGTCAGAAAGCAACAGAAAAGAGGAATACAGAAGAGAGTGGAGATTAAGAGGGTGGAGAACAAGAGACGGGGGGGCGGGGTAAAAAGGCTAGATTGGAGAAGAAAGGAAGGGAAAAAGGGAAGAGAAGTTACAAAGGTTTGAAACAAGATGTAAAGAAACAGGATTTATTCAGAGATAATGGGTAAAAATATAATTAAAAAGAGATTCTGCAAAAGTACATGAGACTGTATTGTTGTATTTGTATTTGAAATAATGTTAGAAAACTGGAACATTATGATTATAAAATGGGATAAAATATTAAAAGGAATGTGTAAAATGCTTAAGACTTAATGATAGAGTTTAATTTGCTATGGATTATTGTTTTAATTATATTATAAAATTATTATTTTCCTATTTTAAAATATAGTACGTAACTTTAGAATGTACTAAGCAGAATCAGAATGAAAATTATATATTATTTTAAGTGTCAAATTTAGGGAAAGATATAAAGGCGTCATACGTCAATCAGTGATTACAGGAGAAATTTTGTGTTAATAAGAAAAGATAATAGATAATTGAAATAGAACAGACAAAAGATACAAGCATAATGATTTAAATCGAGATGAAAGAAATAAAATAGAATTAAGAGAGTGAAAAGAGGGGAGAAGCTTTACAGAAAATGTAGAATGGTAAATAAGATATGAAATGGTAAAGTGAGCATGAATTTTATTTATGTCTGTACAAAAAGATGTAACCCGGGACTAAGCCGTTTTCCAAAAAGAAGTTTTATGTTTTCATGTTTTGTGTTTTGTTTGTGTATGTTTATTGAAAATTAATAAAAAAAATAAGTCTGCAATTCCTTCTCCCGCCCTGTACAGTTAATTGCTGCAGCGTGGTTTGTGTGGATTTTTATTTACGGTTTATATGTACTTTGTTTTCAGACTGAATTTCCTCCACTTAAAGACTGTTCTTGGGAAGTTTTTTCTCGAGCTGAAAGTAACCTGGACATTGGGGGCAAAGTTGGAGATAATAAAGGGACTCTTCTTGCTTATTTGACTGTGTTGCCTTTGTGCCACGCCCCAGGTCACCACAGTTCTCTTCTTGGGGGCTCCCTGGTTAGGCTGCGGTTTGTTGTTGGACTGTCGGTCTGCATTGGTGGTGCCTCATCTGTGTTGTTTACAACACCTGAGCAACCACCAAGCCATAAACGGCTCCCCAACTGAGAGCAACCTACTTGTATATCAAGGGGGAGCGAACCCCACTCCCTCCCAGCACTGATGGTGTTACCTAGTCAGTGTTGTGGGTCGCCGGCAGCTGCCGCAGCTGGCAACAGAATCAGACAGTAATGAGGAGGTTGGGCGGAACCCAGAACAGTCTTGGAGGCTGAGGAAGGTTCGGATGAGGGCTCTGCGTCAGAGGCAGAGATGGGGCCAGGGGAGGCAGGCAGTCATTAGCTGCCTTCAGGCATGGACAGCACTGAGGTGAGGGAGCTTCTGGAACTGGTCCCCAGCCTGCGCATGCACAGAGCTGCCAAAAGGAAGGAACAATTACGAACTCAGGGTCAATGTGGGAGTAAGGGCATAGGTAGACGATGAATGCCCCCTCCCATCAGGATTAAAAGAGAAGCAAAAGGGGAGGGGGCTTTTGCAGGAAACAACTCACTCGTTTGTTTGAGCCTCGTGGAGATTTGTCTGTCTAACCCAGCCCTTCCCTGTCAGCACTGAGTGTGGAACTACCTACAAGGCAGCGTTCCAGGATTGATAAGGCCTGAGCTAATTAGCATACCTTTGCGAGACAGTTTGCCAAGCCGTGAGCTGACTGTGAATGAAATAAATTCACATTAATGTAATAAAAGCTGTTTTGCCAGGACACAGAATTGATTTAGTGCTTTTTGGGGAGGCCTAGGACAGAACAGTAGGGTAACGAAACGTCTGCAGGAAGTCAGTCGAGCTCCGCAACCAGTATCTCTCAGCCACAAAATCCAAAAGGATGCGGCCACACCAGAAATTCTGAGCACAAACTGACCCACAAAGACAGGGGTGGGGAAGGGGAAGATGGCGCCTACCTGTCTACGGTGTCCTGGATGTCCTGAAAGAAGAGAGAAATGGGTGCCGGTCCTTGCAAGGGTGGCCAGTCTCCTCCCCCCCAGGAACCCTCTGTTCTCCCCCTTGAGGCCAATGAGGACCCCCCACCTGCAAGAATTCCCCATCTGGCTGGCGGCACTTCCTCTCCATCTGGGCTATCAGCTGCTGCAGGCGGGAGGTCTCCATGGAGAGTTTGGCCAGGGCCCACTCGGCCTGCATCTTCTCCTCCTGCTCAGCTAGCCAGCCCAGCCAGACCGGCTGCCTCTCTCGGAGCAGCTCCTGCAGGGACTCCAGCGCCAGGACCACCTTCTGCTTCTCGGCAGCAAGTAGCTCCTGGGGGGCAGAAGAAGTGGGTCTCAGAGGGAGGGGGGAGATTTCCCAGCCCAAGAACCAGCATCCCTGGGGGGCTGCCTCCTGCCCCCTCCCCAAGAGACCCACCTGAAACTCCTGCCAGCTTTGTTCCTCGGCCTGCCTCTGCTCCAGCAGCTTCTGCTCCTCCTTTCTCAGGGGCTCCAGGAGGCCATCCAGCAAGTCCTGCGTGCGGAGAAGAGGGTTCCATTCCTGGGTCCCCAATGGCAGCGCTCCCACCCAGAGGGGCCTACAGGGACCCCAATGCCACACTCAAGGAGAGGCCCTGCTGGAGGTCCCAGGGGCAGGCAGGGGACCACGAGGAGAGCAACTAAGAATCGGTGTCCCCCCCCCCCCCCGATGGAGTGCCTCATGCAATTGAGGCTGCCCAGCTCTCCCCTTTTGGAAAGCCTAGACCAGGGTGCCGGCCCCCTACCTTGTACTCCTGGGCAGCCTCAGGCAGAGAGAGAAGGGGGTGGCCTTGGTGCTTCCCCAAGCAGGCAAGGCAGAGGAGGCTCTTCTCGCTGGAGCAGAAGATCTGCAGGGGCTGCCCATGATCCTGGCACAGCCATTGGGTGCTGCTCTCCTCCTGGGCTCCCTCCGACAGCCGATGCCTCTTTAAATGGCAGACGATGTTGGCCAGGGGCTGGTTGGGGTAGGTGCTGACAGGCTCCACCCTGACTCTGCACTGGGGGCAGGAAGCCTCAGTGCCCAGCTGGGCCAGGCAGTGGCGGCAGAAAGTGTGCCCGCAGAAAAGGACCATCGGCTGCTCTAAGAAGCCCAGGCAGATCGGGCAGGTGGCCTCCTGGCACAGCTGCCCTACCAGCGTCTCCTCCCCTGAAGCCGCCATAGGGCTCTTCAGTCCCCTTTGCTGAGGCTGGAAGGGAAAGCTGCTCATTGGCTCCTTCTCTCTGTGTGTGGGGGTCTCTGGGGGAGGCCCGCATTTCTCAGCCCCACCCCCTCCTGCAGGGAACACGCCCTGAACCCTCCTCTGCTTAATGTACAGGGGGAATCAAGCCCCCCTCCCTCCCTGGGGGAAGTGCGGCAAAGAAGCGGCCAGAACTGGCCAAGCAATGGGGGCTTCTTCCAAACGGGGGAGGGCGGGCTGCCCAGTGGCCGAAAAAGAGGGCAAGGGAAGCCCCCTCGGCTCAGCCCGGGGGGCTCAGAGGCTCCCAGCCTTCCTTGGTTCCCCATGGGAAAAAGGAAGCCTGGAGCCCCATAGACACCCCCCCACTCCCCTCTTTGCGTTCCTCAGCCCCGCCCTTCCCTGCCAGGCCTCCCCCCTCCGGAAACCCTTCGGGAAGAGCAAAAGCCACATCCTGTGCGAAGACCCCCCTCCCTCCGCTTGGAGCCCACCCCTCACCCGCGGTGGTCCTTCGGGGGGAGTCGGGGCGCCGTTTCCATGGGGAGAAAGTTCACCTGCGAAGCTTCTTCGCCCAGAGCAGCCGCCGCCCGTGAGGCTGAGAGCGACCTGGCCGCCGGGCGCTTTCGGTTTTGCTTCCCGGCTGGGAGGCGGCGGTCCTGCCCCGCCCCGCCATGGGAGGCCCCGCCCCTCCTGCTCTAGCCCCTCCCCCCGCGGGATCTCACGTGGGGCGAAGGCCGCTTACCCGGGCGCTGCTGCTTCTCCGGGGGGGGGGGGCTTTTGGGGCGAGGAGCTGGGGAGCCTCTCTGGCCGAAGGGAGCGAGGGCTCCGTCCAAGGGAGGTCGGGGGGGGGGAAGGGCCGCGGGGGAGGGGGAAGAGCCTGGGAGATCCCATGGCGAGGCGCGCGGGGCGGGGGCCCTCCCCACCCTGAGGGGCTGAGGGAGGGAGCAGCCAGCGCCTTTCCCGCCTCCTGAGGCTGAGGAGAAGGGGCGGCCAGGGCCAGCAGAGGGCGCATCCCCTCCCCGCCGAAGCCCCCCAACCCCCGATGGGGCTCCTTCTCCTTCTCACACAGGGAGGATTCCCATTGGTGCTTCCGCTCGTTCCTCTGAGTGAGGGCGGGCTCCCGCCTGAGGGGATCTGCGCTCTGATTGGTTGCGGCGGGTGGAACGGGGGCGTTTCCCTTCTTTCCCGCCTTTTTCTTCTCTGGGCTGTTCGAATTTACCTCAGGATGTTTCTGACGCGCCTTTCAAGGAGGGGAATCCAGGAGGTCCTCGCCTCGATTCAGAGCCCCGATTCCGGCTCTGAGGCTGAGACCCTCCGCGTCTTCCTCTCCTCTCTTTGGGGACGCTTGTGGGGCGGCATCCAAGGGCTCTGCTGGGCTCCCCCTGATGCTGCTGGTCGGGGCGCTGGGCCGGATCCCCGCGAGCGAAGGGGGGAAGGAGACCCCTGGTAAGAAGGGGGCTGGGCGGGGGAGGGAAGCCCCGGAAAACCCTCTGCTAAACCGCTTCCTCCCCCTCGAATAATCGGTTCTCAGGGCCAGGAAATCCCTTCCAGGGTGATGGACCTTATCCGGGTTTCTGTCAGCGGAGGGCCGATCCCAGGAGACGCTGCCCCACTCCGGGATCTGCCTGTGAGATCCCAAGTGACCGAGGGAGAAGATCCCCAGGGCAGGAGTGGGACTCCGGTCGGCCTTCCCCTCCAGGAAGGGTCGCAAGTGGAGCTGCCCCCCCACCCAGAGCCCAGCCAAGACCGCCGATCCCCCCCTTTCTCTTCCTGCTCAAGCCCAGAAATCAGGGAGGTCCCCCCGTCTGAGCAGCGGCTCTTCCTCGGTCCCCCTCCCCAATTCTCAGCCGAAGGACCCTCCCCGCAGTCCCCGTTTCAGGGACCCTTCCCCTCCCCCGAGTTAGGGAGAAAGAGCCCGGAGGCCCCTTTCCGAGGAAGACCCAGCCCCCGGGGGCAGTTTGGTCCACCCCTCCGTACACACAGAGGAAAGTGCGGCTGAGAATAGCGAAGAGAGCAAAGAAAGTGGAGGGTCTCCTCAGGGCCTGCCCCCCCTTGAGCTGCATCCCGCCCTCTCACCTTCACTTCGCCGAACTCTCACTCCTCCTTCGGGGGACGTCCAAAGGACTCTGCCCGGAGACCGATGATGCTTCAAGCAGGGAGAATTTCCATTGGTCCTTCCGCTCGCTCTGGCCCCTCCCAGCTCAAAAGTCCGAACACATAAACACAAGTTCATTTCGTGGGTAGATTCTGCCGAAGGAAGAGCTGCTGCCCTGGAAGACAAGGGCGGGAGAGGTAGCGAGGGGAAGTCGGGGGCCACCCACAGACATCCCCAAATGGGAGGGAAGCCCCGGAAAACCCTGAAGTAAACCAGGGAGAGGCGATTCCCCTCCTTGAAACCCGCGTCTCCCTTGCCCCGAACGTCTGGACGAAGCGGCTCCTTCTGATCTCTCCCCCCCCTCCAACCCCCCTTCTTTCCTTCTGGGGGCCAGGAGGACTCCCTTTCCCTCACAAGGCGGCCCCGAACGGAGATCCCGTTTCTCTTCCGCTTCCCTCTCTTTTCATCGGAGAACTCCGACGGGTTGGACTAGACGACCTCGAGGATCCCTCCCAGATTGTTAATCTGCTATCTGGCCACCATCTAAGAAGCTATTTACTTTTTTCAGATTGCTAGGGACCATATGCTGACTTTGTAAACTGCTCAGAGAGAGTGGTAAACCATTGTGGAGTGGTATATAAGTCTAAGTGGAATTGCTATTGCAATACAGTTTGTGCCCAGCGTGGATCCTTTTATGAGAAGATGACCATTCTGAGCAAAATTCTTTCCACATTCCATGCAAAATTGTTCAAAATTGGGAAAAATGAAAAGGTTCCAATGGAGGAGGAGGAGGGGATTAAGAAAATATTGGAATGTGCAGAAATGAGTAGATTAACATTGGCAATTACAGAACAAGAAGAAATGGAATACTATATGATATGGGATTTATTTTATAAATGGTTGGAATATAAAGTAAGAAATTAAATGATATTGTTATGATATATAATGTTAAATAGGTTGTAATATGAATGTAAACTTAGTAAGAAATGTATACAAAATATTAATATATGCACAAGATATATGTACCCAGTCGACACACTTTATAACTGAAAGATGGATTTGGTTTTTTTAAATAAAAATAAAAAACTTCAATTAAAAAAAAAGAAAATGATAACAAGGTTAGAGAAAAAGATCAATGTTAGAAAGTCCATTGGGTTTCCTTCTGAATTTCTCCGAAAATTTAGGTTATTTGTTTGCATGCCTACTACAGTGGTGTGATATAGACATGATTTCTATATTCATGAGTCATGAAAGCTTTGCAAATATCTAGAATACATCTCTTTCTTTACAATTATCTCTATATATGCAAATCTCACTCCGAGTCAGTTTTGAGTTAAGGAATAATCAAGGGAAACATCCAAGGAGGAATTAGGAGAAAACTTAAGATTTATTGAGGTGGCTTCATTTCCGCAGAGATCTGTGAGAAATGAAACCATTTTGAAACAAGCTCCTTCCCTGGTGTACCTTGGAGCAGCTGCTCCATGGTGTCTGTCTGGTGGGCGGGACTCGCACTCGGCCTCTTCCTCGATCCCAGCGATGAGATTTTGGAGATAAATCCCTTGCTTAAAGCCTCCCATTGGCTTGTAAACGCTCTTTGCGCTGAGACTGGAAAGGTTGGGATGCCTCAAGAATGGCTATTTCACTGCTCCAAAGTCCCATCGGCTTCCAAGGGATCTTTGTCCGGATCTGGTACAGGTGTCAGTTCACAGAGAACTGAAGCCTAAAGTACTTTATTGCAAGATCACACGAGACCAGTAGTGCAAGATCTCAGGCTACTAATCGCGCGTGATCTCGCACTGCAGTACTTTAGGCCTGTGTTCTTTTAAGAACTGAGGACTCCATGAGATCCAGGGCAAAAGTCTTTGAAAATGAAGGTGCCTTCCCTCTCTTTGAAAAGCATATGGTCCTGGATCTCGTGCAGGCCTTGGTTAGCAGAGAACAGAGGTCTAAAGCAGTGTAGCGCGAGATCAAATGAGATCAATAGTGCTAGATTTCCCACTGCTGATCTCACGTGTCTCACTACTTTAGACCTCTTTTTTCTGCAAATGCACTGAAGCAGGCAAGGGAACCAATGGCTCACCACATAATTGCAATGTACCGTATTTTTCAGACTATAAGACACACTGGACCATAAGACACACCTAGGTTTAGAGAAGGAACACAAGGAAAAAAAGTTTTGACCTCCCTGCGTCCCATTTTTACCCTCCCCGGCGTCCAGATGCACTCTGCAGGACAAAAATGGGCTCATTTTTCACCTCACAAACCCTCTGCACATCCTGTTTTTTCCCTCCCCAGAATCCAGAAGCACTCTGCAGGCCAAATACTCGTAATTTTGGGGCTTGGTCTCAAGTACTTGGGGGAGGGCTGGTCGTAACTTGGAATGGTCGCTAAGTGAACTCTTGTAACTCGGAGTTTACCTGTACCCTAGGATGCTCTGAGTCACACTGCCTGAGGCCTTTGTTCTTGAATTGGATTGGGAGAGTGATCTTTCACGGACTGAGCATGAAAGTTCTGTTCTCACACAATTTGGGGAGGTTCCAGAGGACAAATGACAAACTCTTCTCACATGACCTCCAGAGGACACATAAAAGCACACCTTAATTCTTTTCAGCCTCCACAAATGTTCAAATAGAAATGGAAAAATACAGAGAAGAAATGGCACAGAAAGCATCTAAGCAAAGAGACGTTGACTCTTTCCTTCCTTGGAGCACGACAAGGCCAGATCCTTTCCTTCTCCCTCCCAGGAGACAATATCTGATTAGTGTTTTTTTAAATAAAAAACTAACTATAATCTCTCTTCTTTATTGGGGACTAGAAAACTCTTACCCAGAGAGACCACGTTCCTATGGTTTTCAAGCATGACTTCCGAATGCAGCGCTTTCTGGTCAGG